TTGTTTCTAAATGTGAGCTATTATGAACTATGCTGCATAAAATAATGTTTATTATTCAAAAACATTTCTTTGCACTGTATAAATTTTTATGTGGATGAACATGTTTTCAATTCTTTTGACTGCACACCTACAAGAGGAAATGCTGGGTCATATGGAAATTCTATGTTTAGTCTTTTGAGGAACTGCTACAATTTCTTCCAAAGCAAATGCATCATTTTACATTTTTTTAATATATAATTTTTTGGTTGTTGATGGACCTTTATTTAATTTATTTATTTATATGCAGTGCTGAGAATCGAACCCAGTGCCTCACACATTAGGTAAGTGCTCTACCACTGAACCACAACCCCAGCCCCTCATTTTACATTTTTAACAGTTAAAATATGAGGATTCCACTTTCTCTATATCCTCTTTAATACGTTAATACCTATCTTTTTCTGGGAACTGGGGATTGAACTCAGGGCCTCATGCATGTTAGGCAAGCACTCTACCACTGAGCTATGTCTTTGGCCCTTTTTTTTAAACTTTATTTTTGAGGCAGGGTCTTGCTAAATTGCCCAGGCTGATCTCAACTTTGTGATCCTCCTGTCTCAGCCTCCTAACTCCCCAGGATTTCAGGTGTAAGTCAGCGTGCCTGGCATTATCTGTCTTTTAAATTACAGCCATCCTAGTCGGTATCAAGTGGTACCTCATCCCAGCAGCTCAAGAGTCTGAGACAGGAGGATTCCAAGTTCAAAGCCAGCCTCAGCAAAAGCGAGGTGCTAAGCACCTCAGTGAGATCCTGTCTCTAAAACAAATCCCCAAACAAAACAAAACAAAACAGGGCTAGGGATGTGGCTCAGTGGTTGAGTGCGGCCTCCCCCACCCCCACTCCGTTCCCCAAAAAGTGATATCTCACTGGAATTCTGAACTRCATTTCCCTGTTGCCAAATTATATTGAACACCTTTTTCACATGCTTATTGACTGTGTATCTTCCTTGGTGAACTCTCTGTTTGGATATTTTCTCCATTTTTAAATTGGATTGTTTGTCTTTTTATTATTGAGTTGCAATAGTTCTTTATACACTTCTTTATTAGAAAAATGATTTGTAAATATTTCCCCCAATCTTTTCATTTTCTTTTTGATGTTCTTTGAGGCACAAAAAAGTTTTCAATGAAGGTCAATATTATGGTTTGGATGTGAGGTGTTCCCTAAAACCTCCTGCTAATGCAGGAATATTTAAGGTGAAATGATTAGAACTGTGACTTGACCAGTCCATTCTAATTTGAATGGACTAACTGGGTGGTAACTAAGCAGATGTGGCATGGCTGGAGGAGGAAGGCCATTGGGGACATTACCTGGAAGGGTGCATCTTCCCTCTGGCCCCTTCCTCCCTATCTCACTACCTGTTCCCCCTTCCCCTTCTCTCTGCTTCCTGACCCTGCCATGAGCTGACAGTTCTTCTCTGCTGGGTCCTTCCTCCATGATGTTGCTGCCACTTCACCCTGGGTCCAGAGCAGTATAGTTGGCCATCTATGGACTGACACCTCTGAAACTTTCATTCCCAAATAAACTTTCCATTCTCTTAGTCATTCTTGTTGGGTGTTTTTGACCACAGTGATGAAAATGCTGACTAAGACAACCAATTTATCTACTTTTTCTTTACTTACTTGTGCTTTTGGTGTCATACCTAAGAAACCATTGCTTAATCCAACATCACAAGCATTTTTGCTTGTTTTCTTCTAAGAGCTTTTAGTTTTAGCTCTTACATTTAAGTCTTTGATCTATTTTGAGTTACTTTTGTAACTGGTATTGAGGTAGATATTTAAAATCATACGTAAAGGCTAGAACTGGTCTCCTATTCTTCAAAATTCTGAGGTCTGAATGTGTAGCTCAGAATCCCAATTCCAGCTCATRTGATCTTGGACAAGATACCCGATCTCTCTTGGCATTGATATTCTAGTCTGTAAACTGGAGATACAATCCAAAAGATGAGACTTAAATACCTACACTACATACAAGCACTGAATAGAGTGGTTGCCATTCAGTAGGCAGTTCAACAGAGTTCAACTATTTTTTATCACCTTCTAAATATCACTTAAGTTCATCTGTTTTCACTAGTTTCAAAATTTCTACCTTACTTGAGGTCACCAACATTTCTTACTTGGATTACTAAGTCCTATTCTTAAATGGTTTCCTCACCTCTAAACTTATCCTTCTGCAAATTCATTCTTTACTCTGAACCCATAATGACCATTATAAAATGCATATTTGATCATGTGTCCGTCTTCTATATTTCAAAAAATGATCTGCTGGTACCCCAAAGATGAAGTCCCAATGTGTTAACAACTAGGACATGAAGCCTTCTAGGTTTGGCTGCTATTTACTTCTCCAACTTCATCTTTTACTACTACCCCTAACCAGGACCAAGACTATTTCTAGTTTTAGAACACTGGCTAATTCCTACTTATCTTTCAGGAATCAGCTAGACAACACTTTCTCTGAGAAGCCATTCTCAGTCCACTCTAAACCCTATTAACACACAGTCTTCTAATTAACTATTTCCTTATCTCTCTCCAATGAGATTTGATGAGGATGTGACAGTATTTCTTTATCTCTATATTCCCTAATGAGTACTACAGTACCAGTCATAAGATAAATATTTAATAAATGCAGGGTGAATGGATGAATGGTCTTGAAAGTACACATTAGTCTACGCTTTTCCACTAGAAAGAAAATCTACTAAAACAAAGCCATATCTATAACTCAATTGAAAATTTTTTCATGTTTATAGTTTGAGAGGTTTAATTAAACATGAATACCAGGTGTCATAATTATCGAAATGCATATGTGTCCTATTTGTGGTAAGAGGTCAAGATGTTTGATGTGTCAAGTGTTCAAAATTCAAGGTAGATAAATTTATTTTTCAAGTTGCTCTATTTTCTAGGTTTTCCTTTTTCTGCAAAGGCATGTTTTTGAATTAACATGTATTTCTTGTATGCTTTAATATCACTTATTAATAAAAAAATTCAAGTTTCAAGAAAAAAAGTTTTGGACAGTTTTACTATTAAGAAATTATTAACTATAGTGAAACTTAATTCACTTAAAAACTTATTAACTCCTATTAACACCCCTTAATTCAATGAAATTTCATCTTAATCTTTACTTGGAGTAAAAATATAGACTGATTTGCTTTACCTTTCTGAAATACATACAAGTTATTTTTGGATGAATTAGAGGGAGGGGAAGGATGGATCTGTGAAACCATCCAAGTCTTCAGTCTTTTGAGGGTGAAGAGGTGTGGTTTTTAATTAATATTCCAATTTTGATAATAATTAGTCAATATAAATTTTTCACATATTTTGAAAAGTTTACATTTCTGCTTCTTCAGAAATAAACCCAGTTTGTGTAGGTTTTTAAATGTGTTAATGTCTAATTATGTGTGTTTATCTCCCCAGTACTAGGAATTGAACCCAAGGGTGCTCTACCACTGAGCTATATCCTCGTCCCTTTTTATTTTGAGACAGATTTTTTTCACCAAGTTGCCGAGGCTGGTCTCAAACTTATGACTCTTCTGTCTTTGCCTCCCAAGTAGCTGGGATTTTGTGTCCCCGGTCCCAGCTTAAAATATCTTTTTATTTAATTTTTTTTTTTTTTAGTTGTAGATGAACACAATACCTTTATTTTATTTATTTTTTTTTAAGTGGTGCTGAGAATTGAACCCAGTGCCTCACATCTGCTACTGAGCCACACCCCCAGCCCCTTAAAATATCTTATATATGGAATAAAGTTACCAATCAGCCTATAAATTTGTAAAAAATAAAAATTGACCACTATATTAATATTTTAAGACAAAAAATATTTTAAAAATTTATATACYGTTACTCATACTTTCTACTGCGAACAATCCACATATACTTAGCAATCCTTAGAAACTCATCCCATAAAAGTGGTTGGCAAACTTTTCCTATAAAGGACCAAGCAATAAATATTTTAGGTTTTGTGAGCCAGATAGTCTGTTAAAACTACTCAATGATATTGTACCAAGAAAGGAGTCATAGACAATATACAAATAATGAACATGGTTTTGTTCCAATAAAACCTTATTTACAAAAAACAGGTGGTGGACCACTTGGTTTGCAAGCCATAATTTGCCAATTCCAGTCCTAAAAAATGATATGAAAGGGGCTGGGGATGTGGCTCAAGCGGTAGTACGCTCGCCTGGCATGCGTTGCGGCCCGGGTTCGATCCCCAGCACCACATACAAACAAAGATGTTGTGTCCGCCGAAAACTAAAAAAATAAATGTTAAAATTCTCTCTCTCTCTCTCTCTTAAAAATAAAAAAAAAAAAAAAAAGATATGAAAGTCGCAGAACTAAAAGCTGTCTAGTTTCCAGGGTCTACTGCCTTACTGTTGAGAAAGAAAATTGAATCTAGTCTCCTTCATTCCCAACCCTTCACTTTAAAAGATTCAATCATGGGACCTGAAATGAACTTGCTCATGCCCTGCCAAAAGACTCCAGCCAATTTCAATTCAGTCAAAAAGAAGTGTTCCCTGACCAAGTCATCAAAAGTAGTTCATGGAGCTGTATGTAAGGAATTAAAGTGGTCAAAGGATTTTCCTTTCCAAAAGACTTCATGATACAGGTATTATTATTCCCAATCTTCAGATGAGGAAACTGAAATTTAGAAAGGATAAGCTACTCATCATCTAGGGTTTTTGTTCCATAACCAGTGGTAATGTCTCTGCATTATTCTGCCTCCAACATAGTGAATCAGTAAAGACCAAACTATGGCAAATCAAAATATATAATCAGCCTTTACAAGTCAGATCTTACACTACAAGAAAATATCATTTTTGTAAACTTAATATTGTTTTCTTTTATAAAGGTTGTCAAGTCAGTATTTAAATTATTGTTTTAAAATGTTTTGGACATTTTTGCTTTAAATAATCACCTTCAAAGTAACAAATAACCAGAACAAATTTCTTTTCTGGATTTTGTGGTTTCTGTGCTCCTACCTGACTCTGGTTAATAGCTGCATGGTTGCCATGGAATGGAGACTGTCTTTCTTTATCTCGATGATGCCGACTGCTGTGTTTACTTCTCTGCAACTGCTGGCGTAATTTTGCAATCTGAAAAAGAGAGAAACAAGTATACCAGAGTGATTTCCACACTACGTAAAAATATATCCTTGCTTAATAAGAACCAGTACAACTACCCTTAGTAAGTCATTTGAATATTAAAAACCAGATTACAACATCCAATTTCTTGTACAATTTTTATACATACACATAATTCATTTCTTTTAAAAAGAAACAGAACATGGGCTGGGGTTGTGGCTCAGCGGTAGAGCGCTCACTTAGCATGTGCAGGGCCCTGAGTTCGATCCTCAGCACCACATAAAAATAAATAAATAGGGCTGGGATTGTGGCTCAGCAGTAGCACGCTCGCCTAGCACATGCGAGGAGCTGGGTTAGATCCTCAGCACCACATAAAAATAAACAAATAAAATAAAGGTTTAAAATAAATAAATAAAGGTATTGTGTCCAACTACAACTGAAAGATAGATATTAAAAAAAGAAAAAGAACTATATTCACACATTGTTCTCAGTCTTCAAGCTTCCTGAGTACTAAGCAAATAAGTTTTCAGCACCAAATAAATTATAGCTTTAAGAATTCAAGAATAACAGCAATTATTCTCTCATTGCTCTTACCATAAGTCAACTTGGATTCAGAATTCTTTACTAAATACCTAACTTTTAATGGCTCCAAAAATTAAGTAGCATTTAAAGACCTAGTCAAGCCATGAAATGTATTCATAGATATAATATTTAAATAATCAATGCAATTTCAATGATTATCCTCTGACTGAATTTTTCTTTCATTTACACATTACGTGTAAAATGCAAATGTCATTAATTATAGGCAAAGAAAACAGTAATCACAGCATAGAACCATAATCAACTGGGTTAAACTGAATTACTAAATTTCAGAAACATTACAGAAAAATAACAAACATGAATTTGCTGTATCATTATAATTTATAAATCTGATGTTTACACTGTATTGACGGTTATGGACTCTCCTACCAAAAAAAAAAAAAAAAATAGTTCTCACATAATCAGGTAAGTAATGTGTACACTTCCCTATTCAAATCTTTATCCAAGCCAGGCACGGTGGTACATGCCCACAATCCCAGCAGCTCAGGAAACTGAGGCAGGAGGATCAAGAGTTCAAAACCTGCCTCAGCAACTTATCGAGATCTTAAGCAACTCAGTGAGAGCTTGTCTCTAAATAAAATACAAAAAAAGGGCTGGGGATGTGGCTCAGTGGTTAAGTGCCCCTGGGCTCAATCCCCAGTACCAAAAAAACAACCATCAACAATCAATATCCAATCGATACAATTACTTTTTCTGTTGTTCTCTCTCAATTAAAAAAAATCAATGAAAAATGACAAATTGTTGCTGCCTACAACTTTAAAGAACTAGCCAAATGAAAGATAAAATTTCCAGGTGTTCCTTGGAACACCTTCCTGACCTCCTTAAGTTGATCCGTACTGCCCCAGGATGCTGAGCGTTTGTGAGATCCTTTCTTCTTTTCAGAGTACTCTTCAGCCCATGCACTCTCTGTCTATAATGGAAAAAAAGAGGTGTGGAGAGATTTTAACAAAAATCACTTAATAACAATGTATGTCACATTTTTTTTTCTACTACAAAATACATTCTTCTTACCAAAAAAAAATATTAGAAAGCATTTAAAGTACCACAAAGTACCCACAATTCTCCCAGCACCAATTATATTTAGCATATTTCATTTTTATTACTAAGTTACCAATAACTTATTCATATACTATTATTATTACATATTTAATGAACAAAGTATAGATGCATGCTAATAACTGCTAATCTTCTTCCGCTCTTCTTAAGTGCTAGGCACTATGTTTTCTTATGCTTTATCTGATTTAATATATGTACAGATTTCTAGAAGTTTTGCAGATAAGAAAACTGACAATGGGGGGTTAGATAAGTTGCCTATCTCACAGATTGAAGTGGGAGAGCCAAGAAATAAACCTGGCTCAAGAGCTCACAATCTTAATCTTTATACTGTCTACTCTTGCTTTAGAAATGTACAGAGAATAGCTTCAAAAATGTTCTTTAGGGGGCTGGGGTTGTGGCTCAGAGAAAAAGCGCTCACCTAGCATGTGTGAGGCACTGAGTTCGATTCCCAGCACTACATAAAAATTAAATAAAGGTATTGTGTCCACCTACTAAAAAAATAAATGTTTTAAAGAAAAATGTTCTTTAGGTTAACTAAATCTGGAATTTGAAAATAATGTATCAGAAATTAAAAATGATAAATCATGAATTCTTGGCACACGAAAATATGCTTTGCTAGACACACTGGCATATGCGTGTATTACCAGGTGTTTGGATAGCTAAGGTGGGAAGATCATTTGAGGCCACAAGTTCAAGTCTAGCCTGGCAACAGAACAAGACCCCATCTCCAAATAAATAAAAATAAATTGCAGGGGCCATGGTTTAAAAAAAAAAAGTAAAAGAAAATATACTCAACTTCATGGATAATAAGAGATATGCAAGTTAAAACTTTAGCAAGACTGGGCAATTTGATAACAAACTCTCCTGCATTGCTGGTGGGAGTGCACCTTCATGGTTAGTGCAGCCTTCATGAATAGAGATTTTGGCAACTGTTATTAAGGTTATAAATACACATACTGCTTGATAACTGCAATCCTACTTTTGGTAATTTATCCTGCAAACATATGAAATATACATTTTTTAAAATATTTATTTTTTAGTTTTATTTTTTGGCAGACCAACATCTTTCTTTGTATGTGGTGCTGAGGATCGAACCCGGGCGGCACGCATGCCAGGCGAGGACGCTACTGCTTGAGCCACATCCCCAGCCCAATATACATTTTTTAAAAAATATATTTTCAGTTGTAGATGGACACAATATCTTTATTTATTTATTTGAGCTACAGCCTCAGCCCCATGAAATATTCATTTTAATGTGCAAAATGACATATTCATATGATTCCTTACAGCAGTGTTCTTCAAAGACTGAAATAATATAAATACATTGAATTTATTTAGACTTCACTAAATAAATTGTAGCATATCTTTACAATAGATTTGTAGCTATAAAAAGTAAGAAAATTCACAATGTAAAAATGTTAAACAATCTCCAGATACAGTTAAGAAAAGCCTTAAGGTTCAGTATGGTCTGAATAGCAATTGCCTTTATATGGGACAGCTAGAAGAATATGTTATCTCTGGAAGAAAATACATGGTAACCAAAGAAACTGATTATCAGAGGCTGCCCTGTGAGAGGAAGATTCTTCACTATAGACCCCTCTGGACCACTTTAATTTCGTACTACATACACATATATAGCCCATTCAAATCAACAAGTAGTACTAAAAAAATATTACTCACAGTTTTAAGTATCCTTTACACTCAACCTACCAATTAATAATTATAAAATGGTCTAGTTTCAAACAAAGACAAAAAGAATAAGTTTTCCAAAATCAAGAAATTATTTTCCTTAACATAAATTCCTAAATATAAATTATGTTCCTAGATTATGTTCCAAGCCCAAGCAGCTTGGATCCCTTTGTAACTAAGAGGACTCCATTCTCACAACGAACCTTAAAAACCAAATCAGAGGGCTGGGGTTGTGGTCCAGCGGTAGAGCGCTCATCTAGCACATGCGATGCCCTGGGTTCATCCTCAGCACCACATAAAATAAATAAATCTTAAAAAGGTATTGGGCTGGGGATGTGCTCAAGCGGTAGCGCGCTCACCTGGCATGCATTGGAGCTCTGGGTTCCATCCTCAGCACCACATAAAAAAAAAATAAAGATGTTGTGTCTACCGAAAACTAAAAAATAAATATTAAAAAAACTCTCTCTCTAAAAAAAAGAAAAAAAAAAGGTATTGCACCCAACTTCAAATAAAAAATAAAAATATTTTTTAAAAAATCAGAAGAAAGGACTGCAATTCAGTCAACTGCCCACTACTACTGAATGCCCTGTTCCATCCTAAACTCCACTTTCAGTTCAGGATTATCAATTGATAAGTCATCCCAGGGGTAGTAACTCTTATTGTGCTTATGATTTTTCATGTGAGGGTCCACTGGCTCTGTAGTCAGTTGTTAAAACACCCATCACAAACACCAACGCATGTAGGATGGGGTGCTGTATAGCTATAAACCTGGTGACACAAGAGAATCTCAAGTTCAATGTCAGCCTCGGCAACTTAGGGAGAACCTGTCATAGAGTAAAAAATATAAAGGGCTAGGGATGTGGCTTAGTGGTTAAGTGCCCCTGGATTTAATTGAAAGTATCAAACTAAAACCAAAATCAAGGTAATGAATGATCTTAATACTAGAAATTGTTTAATTTTAAATCATTCTTGATAAAATACAGCACAGTATGCATGGTTCATATATTGATGTTAAACACATGTTTAAGTCCCATCCACCTCAGTTATATGTCTCTGTAATCTTAGACAAATTACTTATCATATAGGATGACTTTTAATTTCTCCATTTTATAAACAGGAATAACAATCTATCTACTAAAGTAATAGGTGAATTAAAGGAGTTAATATATGAAAAAGGTTTAATTTCTAAGCCCAATGCCAAGGACAAAATATTCAATAAGTGTTAGCTGCAATTTTCATTGTATTATGTCAAGTATTCAAACTTTTTTTTTCTTTTTTAATCTCTTATGGTTATGGAAATATGATAAAAAATGGCTGAGTCATAATTTCACTTAAAACAGGATGGAAACAGTAATTTTCACTTTATAAAAATATTTTTGTGAGTTCTAATCAAATGTAAGTGATAACAGGAATTATAAACATTAAGTGGGAAAAAAACAAGGCCTGATTCTTGAATGTAGTCTATGGGCTTGCATCTGAGTGAGAGATGAAGCAAAGAGGGCAAAGCAAGAATAGGAAACTATTCTCCACATATAAATGTCCATATTAATTTTATACTTAAAATTTCAATATTAATTTTTATAATTTTTTATAAAATAAAAAAACAACTCTCATTTTAATTGGTGCATAATAACTACACAGAAAAGTGAGTTTCACTGACTCATTCATACATGTACATAATTTTCACATATATCACTATATTAACTTTGTGCTAAAAAAGATCATGAAGAACTACTTTGTGGATATAGTTTCAAATTCAAGAACTGTTTGCTTAAACAACTGTTTGCATATACTTGCATCTAGGGTTTAATAGTTTCATATTTAACACAGGTCTTACTTGCTAAGTTTCTCAAATGGAGCTTGAGGTAAAGAAGTTGGCTTATGCTTCTTTATATAAAAAGGAGGGAAAAAACCTTAAAGAAAAGGGAGAATCTCTATAGATAGAATAACCCTTAATACATTAATTAAAAATAATAGAATAACCCTTAATACATTAATTAAAAAACAAGGTTGCAGAAGATAGTATAAAATATTGTACTTTATATGTGTAAAGAAAATCACCTGGGCTGGGGTTATGGCTCAGTAGCAGAGTCCTTGCCTAGCATGTATGAGGCCCTGGGTTTGATCCTCAGCACCACATAAAAAAGGTATTGTGTCTATCTACAACTAAAAATTTAAAAAAAAAAGAAAAGAAAAGAAAAGAAAATCACCTTTTTCCTTTTTTTTTTATTCTACCATTTTTGCAATCTAAAAAAAAAATAAATAACTGAAGGATCATCAATGAATACTAAAACTGATAGGTAAAAAGTTAGTAGGGAACAGGATATTCATGTGCCAAAAATTATCCCACAAACTACTTGCTAATTGCAAAAGGAAAAAGTTCATTTACAAATGTGTAGGATAATTCATTTTTAAAACCCCAATATTATTAAGAAAAAAGTATTAGAATGTGCTGGTCTTAAAGAAGATCAAAGAAAAATAAAATATGATGTATAAATTTTGGATTGGATCCTACTTTAAAAACAAAAACAAACAAAACAAGGTCTGGAAACAGGCCTCTTAGAATACTAGGCTTACCCAAGAAAGCTACTGAGAGGCAACAACAGAACTTATTCTGAGGTCAATGGAATTAAGTCTGGGAAAAAAATTTAACATTTTCCTTTCCTCCTAGTATTATATTCTTTCAGCCAATAGAAGGAGGTTTTATTAAAAACAGCAACTGTTACTCAAATAATAATAATTTAAAAACAAAAATAGTTCCATCTCTTCAGTTTTTCCTTAACATCAAGATTTTAATTTTTGGTGTTACTTTTATCTAGCAAACATTGTTTTTGTTTTTKTTTTCTGCAATAAAGTCCAGATTTTTCTTGCAATAAAAGAAACAACCCCTATCTGGGTATAGGGGCACATGTCTGTAATCCCAGTGGCTCAGGAGGCTGAGGCAGGAGGATCACTAGTTCAGAGCTAGCCTCAAAAATGGAGAGGTGCTAAGCAACCCAGTGAGACCCTGTCTCTAAATAAAATACAAAATACAGCTGGGGATGTGGCTCTGAGTTCAACCCCGGGTACCAAAACAAAATAAAACAACCGAGGGCCTGCAAGCTAGGGGAACCTGCGACCCACGGGCAGGTCAGGCCCAGCAACCTGCCCAGTGACAGAGCAGCT